ATTGGGGACCTCGCTGATCCCTGGAAGGCTGGGAACTGCGCAAGCGTCTCCAATTTCATGAGCTCCTGAGAGGTCCCAGCGGAGTCGGGGGCTCCGCGGATTCATTGGGGACCTTGCTGCTCCCTGGGAGGCTGCCAACTGCTCAGCCGTCACCACTTCTGCTGGCTCCTGGGAGGTCCAACGAAGTGGAGGGCCACGCATACCCATTTGGGACCTCGCTGCTCCCTGGTGGCGCTGCGAACTGCGCAACGGCCGCTGCTTTCTCGTGCTCCTGGGAGGTCGAGCGGATTCGGGAGCCACGCGGATCCGTTGGGGGACCTCGCGGCTCCCAGGGTGGCTGCGAACTGCGCAACGGTCACCACTTTTGCTGGCTCCTGGGGTGTCCAGCGGAGTCGAGGGCCACGCGGATCCATTGGGGACCTCGCTGCTCCCTGGGTGGCCACGAACTGCGCAAGCGTCGCCACTTTCGTGGGCTCCTGAGAGGTCCAGCGGAGTCGGGGGCCACGCGGACCCACTCGAGACCTCGCTGCGCATTGGGTGGCTGCGAACTGCGCAGCCGTCGCCACTCTTGTGGGTTCCTGGAAGGTCCAGCGGAGTCGGGGGCCACGCGGATCCATTGGGGACCTCGCTGCGCCCTGGGTGGCTGCGAATTGCTTAACCGTCGCCACTTTCGTGGGCTCCTCGGAGATCCAGCGGAGTCTGGGGCCACGCGGGTCCATTTGGGAGCTCATTGCTCCCTGGGTGGCTGCGAACTGCTTAACCGTCGCCACTCTCGTGGGTTCCTGGAAGGTCCAGCGGAGTCGGGGGCCTCGCGGGTCCATTGGGGGCCTCGCTGCTCCCTGGGTGGCTGCGAACTGCTTAACCGTCGCCACTTTCGTGGGCTCCTGGGAGGTCCAGCGGATCCACTTGGGAGCTCGTTGCTCCCTGGGTGGCTGCGAAGTGCTCAACCGTCACCACTTTCGTGGGCTCCTGGGAGGTCCAGCGGAGTTGGGGGCCACGCGGATCCATTGGGGGCCTTGCTGCTCCCTGGGTGGCTGCGAACTGCGCAAACGTCGCCACTCTCGTGGGCTCCTTGGAGACACGGCGGAGGTGGGGGTCCCGCGGATCCATTTGAGACCTCGCTACTCCCTCGGGTGCTGCGAACGGCGCAGCTGTCGCCATTCTCTCGTGCTCCTGGGAGGCACGGCGGAGGTGAGGGCAGCGCAGATCATGTGTATCTGGCGATGTGCTCATTTGTTGTTCGTACTCGTCCCGCGTGGAGAGGGGTCTGGGTACCTTTCGGGTCATTTTCCCCAACCTTTCAGCGTTGGGTGCTCCTCTCGAGTAGAGCACTGCGGCATCCACTCCTCGCCTTCCCCTGCTCCTCGCTCTTGCCTGCTCCTGCCTCCTCCTGCACTGCTCCCCAGGAGGCTGGGAACTGCTCAACCGTCGCCGCTTCGTGGGATCCTGGGAGGTCCAGCGGAGTGGAGGGCCGCGCAGACCCAGCGGGGACCTCGCTGCCCCCCGGGCGGCCGCGAAGTGCGCAACCGTTGCCATTTTCGTGGGCTCCTGCGAGGTCCTTTCGTGGGCTCCTGGAAGGTCCAGCGGACTTGAGCTACACGCAGACCCATTTAGGACCGAGGCTGCGAACTGCGCAACCGTCGCCACTTTCGTTGGCTCATGGGAGGTCCAGCGGAATTGAGCTTCACGCAGACCCATTGGGGACCTCGCTGCTCAGTGCGCAACCGTCGCCACTTTCGTGGGCTCCTGGGAGGTCCAGCGGAGTGGAGTGACACGCCGATCCATTGGGGACCTCGCTGCTCCCTGGGTGGCTGCGACGTGCGTATCTGTCGCCACTTTCGTGGGCTCCTGGGAGGTCCAGCGGAGTGGAGTTACACGCATACCCACTGGGGACCTTACTGATCCTTGGGAGGCTGCGAACTGCGGAACCTTCGCCACTGTCGTGGGCCCCTGGGAGGTCCAGCAGGGTCGGGGGCCACGCTGATCCAGCCGAGACCTTGCTGCTCCCTGGGTGGCTGCGAACTGCGCAACCGTCGCCACGTTCGTGGGCTCCTGGGAGGTCCAGCGGAGTTGGGGGCCCTGCGGATCCATTTGAGACCTCGTTGCACCCTGGGTGGTTGCGAACTGCGCAACCGTCGCCACTTTCGTGGGTTCCCGGGAGGTCCAGCGGAGTCGGGGGCCATGCGGATGCAATTGGGAACTCGTTGCTCCCTGGGTGGCTGCGAACTGCTTAACCGTCACCACTTTCGTGAGCTCATGGGAGGTCCAGCGGAGTGAAGGGCCACGCGACTCCATTTGGGACCTCGCTGCTCCCTGCGAGGCTGCGAACTGCTTAAACGTCACCACTTTCGTGGGCTCCTGGAAGGTCCAGCGGAGTGCAGGGCCACGCGACTCCATTTGGGACCCCGCTGCTCCATGGTAGGCGTCGAAGTGCGCAACCGTCGTCTTTTTCGTTGGCTCCTGGGAGGTCCCAGCGTTGTCGGGGGCCACGGGGATCCATTTGGGACCTCGCTGCTCCCTGGATTGCTGCGAACTGCGCAATTGTCGCCTTTTTTCGTCGGCTCCTGGGAGGTCCAGCGGAGTCGTGGGC